TAGTTTTACACTCAAATCTGGTCATATTAATTTTCTGATTTGCATAATTAGTTTTCAGCTAAGTAATTTCGAATTATATTTAATGTGTCTCCAATACTCTCAGCACATGGGAGTTCTTTCTAAGCTTTCTTTGATTTTACTTTTATCCGCCAAAATCTCAGCTCGTACACTATTTATTGTCATAAATACTACACACAGTCACTGGTGTGATATTCATAGTCACATGCATCCACTTTGGCACGACATAATAGACATGTAAGTTCGAGAAAACGCGTTTTTACTGGAGCTTGGCTGGAGCTGTTTACTACAGCGTGACAAGCAAGGAAATAATCCCTATTGTTTAGGAGCGTATTTATAGTATACCTGGGCCTTTAAATTGATGTTGATTTTCTGTTTGGATAAACCTGTGCAAATAATAGAATTCAAGAAAGTGGATACAAAATTGTAACAATCCAAACATTCATTGTCATTATTCATTGTCCACAAACTGTTGTGTTTTCTGTTTGTATACTCGTTATCAGTCATTCATTGAACCCCAGCTAGAAAATTGTATTTATGCAAAATAAACACACCATGATTGAGTTGTTAGTATGCATACATGTAGTGAAAAAAAAAGTAATTATGGTCACAGAGTAAAAATATTTTCTGTATTTATGAGCTGTCGAAGATGTGTTCATACATTGTATGCTAATTAATGTAGAATCAATGAGTCAATGTTATGATGCATAAAAACATTTGCTCTCTAGCAAGTGCATCTTCAAAGAAAAGTCTTGTTTTGGTGAGACGTTAAGGTGGTTGACTACCATTAAAATAGATCATAAGATTTTTCAGATTATCTCAAACATTTTGATGAAAATCTATAGGTTTTGAATCATACAATGTGGCTTTCAATTATTTTACAAAGCTCAGATTAAAAAATATGGTCACAGAGGTCAAATAGGTCAAACATTCATGATATAGTTTCTATTGTAAAAATTTCATTTGATTTTTCATAGTGGAAAGATTGATGCTGTATGGGCACTTTTGTTTTGTCAACAACTATTAAGAAATTCTTATAATTATGTTCCAAAAATGTCCATTTATGCCTTTTTTTTAATATTTTTCCACCAAAAACAATGTAATGTAAAATAAAATGTTAGACGTGTATCCCAATCAATAATTATGTGACACTTTTTGAAAAAATTAAACATAATTTTCATTTGTGTAATCACTCAAGACTATTCGTATTTTAGGAGTATTATCTAAATTCAATTTCAAGATTTTGGAGACATCAGTGAGAGGCTTTCCGCAGATTATAAAAATTAGAATACAACTTTGAATTGATCCCATTTTCTTCTTCCAGGATTATAAAACTGTTGTAAATGAATTTACATCGATTTGTGTCAAGAGCTTTGTAAGAATGCTGATAAACCTGCGGGAATATAGATTACATTCACTCATTGATGTAAGTGCAAAAACTTTTCAAATTTAAGTTTACTGTACAGTAAATTTCCTGAAGACATGAATGTTTTTATACAACATATTTATGAATGTTAAAAATGATGGTTTAGAACAATGACCATTTGTGTGTAAAGGAATAAATCAGGCCATGGAGGTATGTTTATACCTCCGTGATCATGCCAATGATTTAAAGGAACCCTCAAAGGCTCATGGGTAATTGTTTTTACCAACTGGCTTCTATAGCCAATGAAAATATCTTCTTTGGGTTTGCATGAAATCAAACTTCTTCCAGGGTAAATGTTAATTTATAAATTTTTCTATTGAAAAATATTCACACCTTAATGAAATTCACTGTTTTTATAGTGTGATCATATGTATGATCATGAGTATGATGAAGTTGTAAATAGGTTCATTTGATGAACCAAAAAAGCACAATAGGTGTTTTTTCCATTCACTCAGAGATCCAGCATAATGCATGAAAAACGTGGTTTGAACATCTGCCGCAAAAATTTAATGATTTGATTTTTAACTTAAATTTCTCTTTTATAGTTCAATGTTAAAATTCCCATCTTTTAGAGCGAAATATGGTGTTGAGATATCTTTATATTCTATTCCATGATCATTCAAAGTTTTAAAAGCCTGGGGGGGTATGAAAATCTGCCAAATCTGGCCAAATTTTTGCATCAGATCTAGTTTGTAACAGCTGTAGCACAATAATTGGGTCGGTGACCACCATTTTTGTCATGGATTGTAGGTCCAGAGACGCCACACTATTATTTGAAAAAAATTTACTTTAAATTTATACAAATAAAGCTTGATGTGTTATTTTGTTATATTGTTCCAGATTAACATGACAGTGTTTGCGACTGGACAGGAAAACCAGCTAGATGTAGCATTTATCAGAAAGTGAGTAGCCCTTCAATTAAATCTAACTTATTTGATGGGGATCATCACCAAAATGAGATGAAAATAAATGCAGAAATGCTGGTTTTGGTTGAAATTTTACATGCCAAACTGTGATGTGTTAATGTTGAAGGTTCTTTTCAATCAAACTAATAGAGCTTACACAGTATTTATTTTAAATTTTGTTAAAATTCATCATTTTTCATCCAAATCTTTCATATTTAAATATCATCATTAATCTTATAATTGCAAAAGTTACCTTTCACAATACAGAATCCACATTTTTTTCTAAAATTTTGTTCAATACTTAATAGAAAATGTTTGGTCTAAAACTATTAAAAAAACTATGGAAAAATACGTAAAAGTAAGCAATTGATATACATGTATTACAACAAAATTGTTGGTGGAAACAAACCCAGATTCATTTAGCAATCCTTGTAGCATATAATCTAGTCTGCTCAGCATCAGAGAGATGCAAGTTTAATTCCTACTGCAGTTGGTAGGCCACTTAGCAGTGAATTTAAAGATTACCAACATTCTGCAACTTGCACGACTTGCAGCATTTATAGTTAAAAGAATGACGTAATCTCTATGTGATGTGATCTTGGCTTTATATATCATATGTGAATAACATAACACATCGCTTCTTTTGTATTTTATATTCGTAGAGCTATTTCATCTCATCTGCAAACCTGCGGCTGCTCTCTTGTAATTGGAAGCTCTGTAAAAGAAGTGAATACAGTGAGTGTCTGTTTACTATAAAATCTGTAATAGAAGTACCGGTAGCATCCTTAATTGAAGCCACACCCATTCTTTTTAAACAATTGGGAACCGAATATTCTCATATATTCTAATTTCTCATATGTGTAGATGCTCAAATAGAAGTCGCATCCCTATTTGAAGCCACACCCATTTTTTTGAGCAATTGGGAACCAAATTTTCTCATTTTTCATATGTGTAGATGCTGCAGTGTTATAGAAGTCATGTACATCCCTAATAGAAGCCACACCCATTCTTTTTGAAGAATTGAGAACCAAATATTCTCATGTTTAGAATGCAGATGCTCTATAAATAGAAGTCGCATCACCTCTGTAACATTCTAATACGTTTTTTTCAGTACATGTGTTACATCACTTACACACATGTAAAGAGAATACAGGGACATGTGACTGTGGTTTACTGTAAAACAAGTCTATTTTTTTTTTTAGCTGGCATGTTATTTAGCTAATCTAGCTAATCTTTAAATTTTGCTAACTCAAAATGTCACTAAAGTAAAATAAAGTGTTTATTCTCACATTGAGATTGTTGACACTTATTTAGTTTAAATAAAGATTCTGCATTTTGAGTCAAATTTTTTAAAATGACATGTAGCTATAACACGTTTCACAGTATGTTCTCATTGGAATTGTGAGATTGCAAGACTATGTGTCATATTCATTTAAAACATTTTCAAAATGTGTGTTCTCCTTACCAATGGCCTTCATAGCCTATTTAGTGTTCTGCTTTATCATATCATGATAGCATCTCTTAATTATATTTTTTATCTTATCATAAGTTTATTTAGTTGCTGTATTTTGTATGATTTGTATTTTTATTATTTTATTTATCATACTGCACCCTCTGATGGCATAATAGTGTAATAAAGTTATTTTTATTATTGATGAAGGTCATTGATAAGCAGAGCATTCCATTCTGTAAATATGTAGTGAAGGCCATTGGCAACAGTTCATTATATAGGACAGGGTGGTCTTACAAGCACAATGGATAGGGATGTGTAGCACCCACTTCAAGATCACTGGTTTTAGTAATTACGTACCTATCTCTAGACCAACATGTTAGTCTGATTTCAGTACTGTAAAATGCATTCCCATTGCTGCACAATGTCATTGATATAAAAAATTTGAAAATAAGTACAGCACTATCTGCTGTAGATAGGTCACTATGTCAAGTCTTAAGTCCAAAGATAATATACAATGTAGCAGATGCATTATTATTACATATACTGCAGTTTATTTTGATTCGTCCCTGAAATCAAAATCGGTATTTCCACACCTCATATGCAAATGAGTCTGAGAGCAAACAAAGTAGTCCCTACAGGAGTACCGTTTTTCGAAACATAGCAGAAATAAACAATATTAATAAGTACAATGTTTTTCCCTTGGGGTACATGAATATACTTGCCGAGTGGAATGAACAGTAATGGTTATTTTTTGGCATTTTGACAAAAACTAATTTGCATATCACCCATGCAATAATGTTTTCGGTATTTTCACAGTCGATATGCAAATGAACATGGTATTTCCATTGGCTATCGAACTATTTTTATTTTGTAAACACATTTTCGTCTGCTATTTTTGTCCGGTTCAAATCGTTCAGCAACATTTTTGGCATATTAGGTGTACATCTCATGGAATACTATGATTGGGAGAACTTAATGTATGTTGACCACCTGGAAACTGAGTTTTATACACCTTGCAGTGCTCTCGGAAGATCCACCCACTGTGAAATCAGCGATTACTATGGATTCGCAATCATCAACATCGAGATCCCAGGAGGTTTCTGCTGGCGACGTTGCGGCGTTACTCAGTTCTAAATAAAGATTACCAACACCAAATGAGCAACATTTTAGCTGGTAACCAAGACTCAGTCAATCCACGACCAGCAAGCAACGTCACACACAAAGTTGTATCGTGCAGCTCACCGACGACTGCTGTCATCGAAAGTCATCCCGTCAGTGGAGTACCGCAGTTGCACGGCATGTTTACCAATTCACAATTCTGTGGAGGAACTTATAAACTGTGTATCATAGTCGTCCAGTTCAAGTTCTCGTTCTGTCATGGTCCCAACTAAACGTCCACGGGTTATTTATTCGGACAGTGGCTCAGATTAGAAGTCTGATTATTATCTGACACGCGCTGCTAGGGCATAACACTATATTGGAACATATTAATGGGCAATGGGATTTCCAACCTTTGCTCATGAAAGTACGACCGCAGGATACACCGCATCATCTGCAACATATTATCTTCACACTTAAGATTCCTAGGCTTGCCATGCATAAGTCAGAGTAGAATATCCACTTTTAATATATTTTAGCTAGAAAAAATTTTTTTCACACATTTTATGTTTTACCTTGTTCTTGGTGTGTATTCAACTTTATTTCAGCTACATGAAAATAGTTAACCTATGTCTGTTTTCATTCAGGTGATCAGTACTTTGGCATTATTTCTGTCTCCAAGTGAAAGACAATGTTCCTGTTATTTATTAGAAGATAATGAATATCCATATCAACAAGGACTTTACATACAAGGATTATTGATTAATGAGGTCAGTTTAACCTTCTCATCACAAATTCACAAAATAGTCCCGTTTATGGTCTGTGCTTCCTTTCAGAAGATTGGGAAAAAATAGCCAATTTGTTTGAGTAAAAACTGAAAATTGACACAAATTTTGTCTGTTGGCTTCAAAATTTAGGGTTCATTACCAGAAATATTGGAGAATATAAGAAAAATATGCAGAAAAATTTGAAAAGTTATACTGTATCATAATCTTGTTCATTGAATGCATATACTTATAGATGCTACGTGTTTTATATAAATATAAAAAGTTCATTTTGAGCAACATGTGCCAAAAAACAACATCCTCAATCATTCAGCATTTCATCCTCAAATTCGGAATGGGTATCAATTTCTTGGTATTGACCTACTGACTTATTTTCTCTTCAGGGCTTTCACCTCTTGTTGCATCTTTATTTTTAGTCCCCGTTCGGACGCAGTCCGAAAACGGGGACTTATGTTTTGACCTCCGTGCGTCCGGACCTGTATCTTAGAAATGCCTGAGCCAATCACAATCAAACTTCACACATACATCATACATGATATTATACATGTGCACATCAATTTGTTTTACGATCTGATTCAAGATGGCCGAATGGCGGCCATTTTTGTGCTAAAAAATCATCAAAATCAAGCATTTCTCGGCTGTTTACAGATGAATTTTGTTCAAACTTGGTATATACATTGGACATTATAGGACCTTGATGCACATCATTCTGTTTTTTCAGATAATGAATGTGGTTCTAGTGCCATATCTCTGACTTGCTGTGACTGATTATGTTCAAATTTTAAATATTCATTATACATCATGTCATAGATATACAGATGTATTGGTTTGACGATCCTATTAAAAATGGCCGAATGGTGGTCATTTTTGTGCTAAAAAATCATCAAATATCAAGCATTTTTGGCATTTCTGCATGGATTTTGTTCAAACTTGGTACATACATTAGATACAAAATGGCTGATTTTGTTTTAATTAATGCTGTTTCTGAGCAATATCTCTCAATACTCATTTGATGATCAGATACAAATGTCAATCATTTAAATGTTAAACAATCATCATAATCATATTTCTGACATGTTTATATTCCAGCTATATTACTATAAACAAAACTATATATCTTAAATTTGATAACTAACAGGGACTGTGCCATGCATGGCTTGTTTCTGAAAATTTAGAGCGAATTGGTGAACTTATTTTTTCTCATAATCGTTTACAGGGCGGTATTTGAATCTACTTTTGGTTGTATTCCAAAAATAATAACGATGTGATACTAAGGGGCCAGTGAACTATGCATAACAAAGAACATGAAATCACAGTTAACCTCACCTTGCATGTGTTTGAGGCACCACTCATGCATAATTATTATTTTAGTTGCCATACTCTCATAGTTGAGTTGCAGGGCTGCATAACACACCCACCCGTATTGCCACTGTTATTACGACTTCAAAACATTTTTATATCATAGAGTGCACACATGATGTTGTATTACTATTACTGCATAAGCGCAGTTCATATTTGTCTCAGTAAATCATTAATTTTTGACAGACACCTGTACAAAATACTTGGGCAAAAGCCAGCTAAGATTTTCTGTTATCTTGCATGTTTTGCTAATCTATTCACGTCTGAATGCAGCACTTTTTTTCTGAGATGAAGCATTTGTTTTTATACTAAAATATCTGAATTACTTTGAATAAAGCTGTAAAATTATTTATCTTAAAATAATTAAACAAATTAGGCACCAATGTTTTTGTAAAATATTTACATCAATCAAGGACATTTGGTAGACTGCTTTTCCACTGCTGTTTTGAAATTAAACTATGATAAAGGAAATAATATTAAGCAACAAAGAGCAAGGTGACCAGAGTTCAACTATATTTTATAATTCTTTTATTAGCAAAGGCCTAACTTTGTGCTTTTCACTGTATAATAAACTTAATACATTTTTAATTACCGGTAATCTGTTTTTTGTTTTTTTTCCAGGATGTTAACACAAACACTATACTCAGTAATTATATGCGGGATATTTTAACCAATCAGTATCCAACAACGTTAATTGACATTAATCGTCTGGAGGTGAAACAAACGCCACCATGTAATGAACATTATTCCAAACGACATGAAGTGATGTCACAAGAATTACAATGTCTATGGCTAGATGATATGGACGAGATTCTATGTTTGCCTCCGTGAGTTTTCATCTCCTGTTTTAATTTATACTTAATATACTTTTTATGTACATTTTGTAACTAAATAATTGACAATTAATGAAACATTATTGTAAAACATTATTTTGACTGGTATTTAATTTCATTTTTTTGGTATTTTGAGCATATTTGCTGTGTACTATGTTCACAAATGTACCAGTAAAACAATGAGTCCAGGGTTATTTTAGTTAAGACTTCTTTAGGACCCCCTGATCCATAACTCTAACCCTGCCCTTCAAGTGCCCCCCCCCCCCATTTCAATTGTATCTGCCCCTCTTGGGACATGTATAGTTATTATTGAATTATGTTGGGGCTGGAGTGTTGGGGTTAGGATTAAGGTTAGGGGTGCATTTACAGTATTTTTTTTTTTTTAATTTATTGTTTAACTGCAGTACTGCATTCCATATTGTGGAGACTGATGATGTGATGTTAGAAGATATCATGGCAGAGGTAAGAAGGGTGTAACTAATCAACATTACTGTCAGTACTGTCTTGTAGTCCCAAACATTTATATGTTTATATGTGGCGACCTTCACACAATACTTTCACAGAACTTGATATTTACAAACACAAAAAAGTGAAGAGAAACAATAGTAGCATTCAGTGTTAGAAACTGTCTCCTCACACGGAAATATTCTAAACGGATAGATAGATAGATAGCAGTAATATATAATTTCAAAAAGATATAGTACCGTTAATTTTGTTTCTAGTTTCTATGTACTTTTTATATTTGTGTTTCTATAGGTGTATCAGTTACATCCAGGTTCTGGTGTAAGAGAAGCTCATATTGAACAGTTTATAAGGCTTCTAGACAGGAAAGCTTTAGCACTAATAAAATATATGGAAACAGAAACGTGAGTAATATATGTTTTTAAGGCACAAGTATTAGAATAACACTTTTGGTCATGTGACCCATTGTTTAGGTTGTGTTTTATTAGTTCCCTTCATCCAAAACTGTGTCTTTGTGCATCTAGAATTATTTCTCTGGTATGCTTTGACTGATCACGCTTAACATTTCACCACCAGACTTTCTCACCCAAATTTTTCTTCACTTTTTTCTCTTATTCATTAGTCCCCGTTCGGACGCAGTCCGAAAACGGGGACTTATGTTTTGCCCTGTGTGCGTCCGTCCGTGCG